TTTCCGTGTCCGTGAGTACCCGGCTGGCGTACTGAATGACGGCTGGCCCAGTGTTGGGGTGTACTTGGACCAGTACCACTCCGAGGCTGGTGGCGGAGGCGTCCGTGTGTACTTTGATGGGTTGTTGTTTGTCGTAGCATTCCAGGCAGTTGGTGTTGGCAATCGCGGTTTTTAGTTTGTAAAACTCATTCTCTGCCAGTGGTGACCACCGGAGGGTTGTGCTGGGTTTGGCGGGGATGGTGGTGCAGAGTGTTTTCTCTGCTGTTGCAAAGTTGAGGGGCACATGGGCCCTTAGATACGTCGCAAGGCCCAGGAACCTCTGCATCTCTTTGGTTGTGCTGGGACAAGGGTATTGCTCCACGGCGGCCAGGTTGTGTGGGGCTGGCCGTGCCCCTGTTTGATAAATGATGAGTCCCAGGAACTCAATCTGGGTAGCGAGGAAGGTGGACTTGGAAATATTGATAGCCGCGCCTGCCTCATCCAGGGCTGTGAGGACATCTTGTAGGTTTTGGCACACTGTTGCGTAGGTGTCGCCAAAGACAATGATATTGTCAATGTAGGCTAGACACTTGGTCAGAAGATGTGGCCATAGGATAGAGTTGATGGCGCGTTGGAACAGCGCTGGCCTGTACCGGAGTCTGAACGGCAGTACTGCGTACTGCATCTGCCCTTGAGGTGTCGAGAAGGCCGTCTTTGGGCGGTCCTGGGGCACAATTGGCAAATGATGGGAGGCGCTGTGTAGGTCCACCGTGCAAAAAAATGCGTTGCGTCGTCCCAGAGCATCGATGAGGTCTTGAATTATTGGCATGGGGTAGTTGTCCTGGATCAGCAAGGTGTTGCGTTTTTGGTAGTCTTTGACAAGCCGCCATCGCTGGCCTGCGGGGGCGTCTGGTTGGCTGTTCTTCTTTGGTGTGAGGAACGCTGGCGAGTTGTAGGGTGACATTGCTGGTTTGATGATGCCGGCTTGGACGTATTCTGCGATAATCTCCTTGTAGGGCATTAGTTTGTCTGACACTTGTTGGAATGGTGGCAATGCGGGCGGTGTGCCATCTGTTGTGTCCAATGTGACGGTGTACTCAGGGAGGCATCCCTGTCGTCCCAACCACTGGAAGACTGCATCCTGGTGCTGTAGCAGTATGCTGCGGATTCCCTGTTGCTCTTGCGTGGTGCCGTTGACAAACTGTATGCTGTGGCCGGCGGTGAGGGTTGGTTGGGCCCGTTGTTTGGAGTGGTAGCAGTATCCGACATATAGGCGGTTGCCTTCCAGTCCGATTTTTAGGGGCAGTTGGCTCATGAGATTGCGTCCTACGATGATGCGGTGGGCTGCGCGTTGGAGTACCCATAGCAGCGTTGGGTAGGGCTGATTGTGGATGATGAGGTCGACTTGCACCTTGGCTGTGATGCAAATGTTGGTGGTGTCGGTGGTGGATACCATCACATATGTCGGGATGTAGGGGAGTCCCAGCCCGGTGGCCCACTGATATTCGATGAAGGAGTGGGAAGCTCCGGTGTCAATCATGGCATCGCACTGTTCATTGCTGATGGCCACGCAGATTAGGTTGGGGTTGGATGCGGTTGCAACAGTGTTGAGGAAGCAGAGCGCCGCCATGCCTACTCCCTCCATCCATTTCCCGACTGCTGGGTGCAGTCTTTGGCATGCTGACCAGTTTTCTGGCACGTTGCACAGGGTAGCACGCTGCTGGCTGTTCTGCCATCAGTTTTCTCCTTGTTGTCACAGTCCCGTTTTGTGTATGCCAGGTGTTTGGGTTTGCAGAAGCAAGCCCTACACATGTCTGTTGTGTGTCCCTGGAACCAATGCCAGTCGCAGTACAGCTTGGTTCCCGGGGATGCCCGTGGTGGACGGTCCATTTGTGGTTTGTTGTTTGTTGTGGGACTGGTCCTGGTGTCCAATTGTTCATCCAACAGGTTTCTGATACTGTCAGCCAAATCGATCAGTTTGTCTTACTGGATGTCCGGTTTCGTATTCAGCTTGGCGCGGAGTTTGTCGGCAATTTGTCCCTCCGCTACTTGGTGTAGCTGTTCAATGAGCATTGGATGCATCACATGGAGATGGTCCGGGGTGATGTCATCTGGTGCCAGTTTGAAGAACAACTGGTAATCGTCCTGCAGCCGTTTGGCAAAACAGCGGTACGTCTCGTTGTTTTTGAGTTGCAGCTTTCGGAAGCAACGCAGTCTCTTGTACTGCAGTGTGGGATGGAAGTGGGTGATTGCTTTCACCATTTCTTTGAAGGTGTGGGCTCCGGTGGCCTACGCCCGTCGTGCGGTGTTAGAGACGTCACGGGACAAGTTGTGGATGAGGCATTGGACCTTGTTCTTGTCGTCAACGTTGTTGATTATCAGCAGTTTGTGGAGCCGGATGGCGTAATCCTTGAAGTCTTTGTCTGCGCATTGTTGTGGCAGGTTGGGTGCCCGGTGGTCGTGCACGCATCGGGATGGTTGTGGCGGTATGCGTGGCCCTGGCAGGAGTGTGGCGTGGCCCGAGTCATTGTTGTTGGATATCTGAAACATAAGTAATGTCACCGGTGATATCTGCAGATTTTCTAGCAAGGTGATGTAGCTTGGTTTTTCTCCTGTTAGGGGCCCTTTGGCCACGTAAGTCTCCATGAAGCGTTGCAGCATCTGGAGGGAGGTGAAGTCCTGTGGATGAGGTGTGGAGGTGGATGAGAGCGCACTGGGCGGCCTGCCCAGCGCTGTTGATGACACATCAGAAGGGGAGTTCTCAGCGGTGGGACCCGTGAGGTCCGTTGGTGGCACTAGGGATGCTGCGCACGCTGTTTGGATTTGCGCCAGCTTGGTGGCAGCACGGGGGTTTCCGTGTCACGTGGCATTGTTGTTTGGTCTTGGACGGGTTTGGTTTCAGTATTTTTTGGCAGGACAAGCCCCCAGTAAGTGTACGGCTGGTAGAGTAAATGTACGGTGGATTCAGGGCTTTTGGTACACTGTTAGATAAAGTTGTATTCTCTTTGCACAAGTAGGAGATTCAGGAACAGTTGCAAGGTTGGCACTCAGCACGTAGTAGAATGGCTGGAGATGGAGCTGCGGAGTGTCAGGAGGTTCTTTTTGTAGTGAAGCCTTGTCCCTTTTCGCGCGCTTAAGTGCTGGTGCTGTTGACCCTGGGTCCTGTTAGGTTCTCTTGTGTTTCTGCGGCAGATGTTGTTCCTGGTTGGGGTCCGTTAGGTTCCCCTTGTTTGGTTTGTCGGATGTGCTTCCTTGGTTTGGCTTAGGGTCGTGTCCTTGCTGCTTTATGTGATCTGTGGGAGAGATAGTGTTTGGCAGTAATGTGTTTTCAGTGTTTGTGTTCTTTTTGTGATAGCAATCTCTGACTGTACATCCAGATGCCCAACAGGCAATACCCACTCCTGGTCATGGAGCGCATCCTGAGTAGGCATGGTACAGCAGTGATACCCCAAATGCGGAGACCCTGACACATTAATTGATACTTTTGGGTACCATTGAAAATTCAAAAAATTGGGTGCAGCATCCTGTCAATATTTCAACATAGAGGCACTTTTTCAGCATTTCTGGAAAATTGCATAATTTTAATTTTTCAGAATTTGAATATCTCTTGACAAAATTGAGCTATTTATATTCACAAGAGAAATTGAAAATGAATGCCATTACTGTATACATTTACAGTACTGTACTTGAATTTACAATTAAGAACAGGTTAATGCTCTGCTTATTTTTTTAGCATCCTCTATCATGCCCTGCTGTCCACACCATTCCAAAGGCAGTTGTAGTGGGTTTAGTGCGACACTGCAGCACCCCTATACCTACACGTATATAGAGGGGTGGAAAAATTGGGAGCAGAAATCGCGAAATTTTTGTGACTGTCAAATTCAACAAGAATCATGCAGTTCCGAAGTAGTTGATGAACAAAGAATTCACAAATTGAGTCACTCCACGCGCCATTGTATATATAGTTGCGTTGGAGTTAATATTTTTTTCTGTTCTTGTGTGCAGTACGCGCTATACACATGAAAAAGAAATTATATGCTGCTTAATATAAGACAACGTTGTCTTATGTTATTATTATATACTTATTTTATTGTAGTACAGCATAGTATACAGCATAATAAGGAGTAACCTCAAATTGTCATTTCAGAGAGCTTATTCTTTGAAAAGCCCTCTTCATCTTGCGTGAAGAAAAAAACCCATAGTTTTACAAAAAGGATGAAATAGCACATTACGCAAAGTACCGTACATGGCTTATTGAACAGCTATTGATAAATTATCCAATCCATGATGGAATTGTATGAAAATATTTCTACAGGATGATGCTTGTGCTTTTGTCAGCAGATGCTCATATTTGATGACTGAAAAAGTTGAGAGAATGATATACACTTGATTATACAGTATATAAAGAATTATTATGTATACTTAATTACATACGCGCACTACAATGTGTCTCCAGCACGCCTATATTAGCCTGTTTTTGGAAACTATTGGGAATAAATCTACAATACTACAGTACCTCACTAAGCCTCATACAGTATAATATATTGACTTTTTGAGGGAATTTGAGAACATATTTAGTTGAAGTGCCGTTCTTTTTTTGGTACTTGTTAAAATTTCGTGGCATGGCACCATTCCGGAAGATATTTTCATTCGAGAATTAGTCCGCGGTTGGTGAACCCAACACGCACCGCTCAGCCTGCACCACCATCAGTCAGGTAATCTGAGACATTTCTGCATTCTGACCATTTGCGTAAAGATTTCTTTCTCCATATAAACATAGGTGTCACTCTAAATAAGCAAAACGCCCACCTCCATGTAGCAGCAAAAGTCCAATCCAAAAAGCAGTGTATATAGAGTCCTTGAGAAACACAGTTCCTGAACAAAGAACAAACAAGCTGTCTTCCTATCGCATCCTCAGAAAGGGGCATTCGAAAGAAAGAAAGAGAACACAATCTGAGCGTGATTGCGTGTGGCCGACCCTGCGCAGGTGCGACGGACGCGCTTGAAATATCAGTTCTTCGCAAGCCTTGGCTTCGGAACGATCCAGCACAACCGATTTCCACGCTGTTACCAGCATTTATTTTCTTATCTCGTGAACAAGGAAGCACTTTTGTCTTGGATTTTGATCGACTATCAAGCGGATGAAAACATTGTGAGTTCGTTGAATGAACTGCTATAATGCTGGTTATCCGGTATTTTGGTCACATTATTCTAAAGAATGACGTTTCCATTAATATTGTTCCAATGGTTTACCGCTGTCGCTGAATAACAGCACAGTGAGTGATTTAATCTCGAAATCAATTTTTAATTGTAGCTTAACAGAAGTATAATACTGTATGATACTTCCTCGAAAATTATTTTTCATCAGTCTTCGTCTCAAGGATTTTCTCTTCTATAGTTTGCGCTGTAGCGCTGATTAATGAAATTACTGTTGAGGCTCGCATTACTTATTTAAAATTTATGACTGAATTTCTTTAAAAGAATGCAGTGAATTGTCTTTGGAGGCATACTCTAACATGCAATGCAACATATGAGACCACAAAGTTGCTGTATACCACTGCGTAAATCGTAAAACAACGGAAACCCTTTTCAAAATAAAAGTATATACAGCAGTGAAATTCTGTTACAACAAATCCCGCAATCATAATGAATTTTTCATTTAAAAATGCCTTTGTCCCCGCACTTTCTTCATACAGACAATGCTATAATTTTTTAAAATAAAGAATAACCAACTAATCTATCCCTATAAGCTCGGTATAACAAAGTTTTGCCTTGATTATGTGCACATGGGTCATTATAGAAAATGTTTTTTGATTGGCACAACATGAGAAAACCCAACGTGTGCATAACTTGAACACTTAGAAAATATATAAATTCTGATTATTTTGTGCATAAAATTTGGCATTGGAAGTATGAAGCTCTAATCAGAATATATTTCGCTCTATTCTAGAATCTAGAAATGGCTCATTAAAAAAGGTCGTTTGAAATGATACTGCTCAATACAATTGTTGATGAATAAATACTCATGTTACACATGTATTTTCTGTTTGATTTTGCTCATACTTCAGTGAGATCATTATAAATGGAAGGAATTTGAAAGCAAAAGGTCTGAAATAATATTTTCTTTTAAATTTTGATTTTCTGTACTATTTCATGGAACACAGTTGTAAGTGATGGCAATTATTTATATTATTTTTGTGAAAGTAAACTTTCAAGTTTCTTTAATGTTTTTTTTATTTTAAAAACAAATTATGTGTTAAAAAAACCAATAAGAATCTTTATCGCGAATTTTATGCTTCAATGGATTTTCTCAGGTCCATGATGGGAGTTTGTTGTGCCAAGATTTTACTTTAAATATACGTGCTCAGCAAAATCAAGAACGCCCAAATATTCAAATATGTGTCGAACAGTGACACAGATTATCCACTTTGTATCGCTTTCCAGGAATCAATTGATGGTCTCATGAGGGAAAGGGTCTGGATCTATTATACGCAAACATACCGTACAACAGTAATTTAAAAAATTTTAAATTACAGATTTCCCGTTGACTGGAGCAGAGCGAGTCTATTTACCGCACTAGACACCAGCTTTGTTCTGTATGATCACCATCCCTTTGGTTTATGCAATAGGTTCGAATATAATGGATTCAACGAGGATACTATTGCTGATCTCACACACATTAGCCACGTGGGGAAATGCCTTGTGGTCCTTCGCCATCGGGCTCTACTTCGTCATCCTTTTGCCCGGGTCACTGTCTTTGACAGCCGTGTATGGACTCGTACTCGCTGTATCAGTCCTGCTTCTCGGCAGCACCATTGGCTTTTGGATTGACCACACACCTCGACTGAAAGGTACAGGATATTTTTGCCCGACGAAATAAACGTCGTGCGATAAATGCGAGGAAAATTAAATATTTATGAATGCATCGGTGTTTTTGTTCCTTTTTTTCGCGTTCCGCGCTGCGTATATTTATATAGCTGCGAGAACGGCTTTGCTTGTGCAAAATGGGTCGGTGGTGATTTGCGCAGCCGTGTTGATCGCGCTGCTTTCGTTTTCTGCGCAATGGGAGGCCCAAGGTCTGCACAACCTGGTGATTGTGTTTCAAGTGATTGTGGTGCTCATTGCGGATGTGGCTTCGTTGGCTGCTGAGAGTCAGAGGCTCATTTTGGAGCGCGATTGGATCGTTGTCATTTCTGGCCAGGACCACGCTGATTTAGCAAGTACGAGACACTTTTTCCATATTTTATTCCAATATGAAACTGTCTAAAGAAGAACATACAGCAGTACAAATATCTGTCTGAATTTTTTGCGTTTTTACAAAATAAAATTGAGCCCAAACAATTAAGTAAACGACGTACTCAATTGCAAGCGTTTCCTTCAAATTTTCCTATACGCAATACTGTATATTTGATTGGCATATTACAGTACACATTTTAATGTACTTGAGAAAAGAATTTAATGCATTTAAATTCTAATTTTTTTTACAAATCGTTAATTTTTGCTGCTGTGATTCTTTGATTTTGAACGTTTTCTTCCGAATTACTTGGGGGTGAGTGTTCTTATGTGAGGATACGTCTTTTCCCAATTTTATTGCTCAAAAATGATTGTACATGTTTTAAAATTAATACTGTATATGACAAGAGCTAATTGAGTAAGCAAGTTACAGTCAAACCTTGTTATCTCAAACTTCCCTATGTCAAATACTGTACCTCCCAAACTTAAATTTTTTTGTATTTCCTCACCAAAATTCCCTTTGAAACAATTAATGCTTTGAAAACCTGTCAAACTCAAACCCTTGCCTATGCTGTACACCTATAAAACTTCCATAACTCAAGTTTTCTTAGCTCTTTTGGCTATTATTTTCTTGACACAGGAAAGAGAAAAGCAATGAAAAATAACTTGATTTGTTTTGAAAGGAAGTGAAAGGCTAAATTGGGAAAATAAACTCATGCCTCCAAGTTCAGCCTTGAGAAGCAATTCAAGGTCCTAAATATCACCATTTACAATTTCCTGCAATTCTTCTATGTTTCCCACTGCAAAAATGCTTGTTTCCCTAACTCCAAACCTCCCTAAGTCATTTTCCCGCTGGTCTCTTGAGATTTGACTTATAGTAAGGCTCAACTGTATTGTTTTCCAGGAAGATGTGCTTATTAGCAGGGTCTTATTTTGCATCTCAAGATTCACAATATGCACCAAACTTTTTTCTGGATTAGGAGAGATCCAAGAAAGATGAATCTGCAAAGCTCATTCGAGTGCATGAAAAAGTTATGGGGTAGCCCATGAATAGAGTGTCATATTTAGAGTAGGGCTTCCTCTCATAGTACTAATATGTATAGTAGTGAGTGACTATAGTTTCTGAAAATAGAGTTATGAATTATACTAGAGCATTTAGATAGCTTTTTGACCTTCCTTTCTGGACGAATGACGTTGAAAAAAATTCTCTGAGAAAATACTGATGTCATGCAGCATGCCTTTTCTCTATAGTCTAAGACTCTAAGTCATTCTTGAGAGCACAGCAGCAATGTTATTAGTTCCTTCCAGAAGCATATAGCTCAGCAAATCATCAGAAGGATGCTCACAATATCAAGAGAAAGGTGTATGTTATGGAAGGCGAGTAAAAAAATAATCACGGAAGGTATTATACTACTGGAAAAAAATTAAATAAAAAATATTCATGGTTTGGTAATACATTTGAATTTCTCTGAGTGGATCCTCTCAAGTAAAAAACCTCTGTGCGTCAAACTTAGGCCATGTCTGAATTAACATAAGAACTATGCAATATAGATCTCCCATATGCAAAGAATTTCCCCCTGAAATCAGAAACCTTGAAAGACAGAGCATGGCTTTTATTCTGTGAAGCCAAGACAATAAAAGAAGAAAACATCTCGACTAGATGCTTTTCAAATGGGGTTGAGTGGCTGAATTGGGCAAATTTACCCTTGCCTCCAAATTCAGCATCCTGTCAGCTCATTTGTGCAGCAGTTTAATGCACAGAATATTGTCAATTTTACCCACCTGTAATTCTTAATTTTTGCCCTTAGCAAAAATGCTGGTTTCCCTGACTTGAAAACTCCATGTTTCAAATTTATTTTGGGTCTCCTTTAAGGGGTTTGAAAAAAAGAGGTTTGACTGTTATTAAATTGATTACAGTATTTTGCCTTTTTAAAAGTCATACCCCCTCATTTTTATAATGTTGCTCTTTTCATCAAATGAATTTCGATTTATGTTATGCTGTATCGGCGTATACAAACACGTTCGTGTGCTAAGTATTGTGAAGTTTTTTCTATAATCGGTAATCAAATTTTCCATAAATATGACGGAAACTTGCAATATTTTTTATTTATAAAATATTGATAAGTTTCCCCTTTCCTCGTCACTCAGGAATGAACTCGTTGTTCAAAAGCATCTACCTCATAGCTGGAATCGCGGCTCCGTTTCTGGTCGGCTCTGTGATGAGTTTGTTATCGCCGTTGACAGCAGCAGTATTCTTAGCAGCCTGGAACATCGTGTCCCTCACCATTGAATACATTCTCCTCATGCTCATCTTGAAGAAAGTCCCTCAGCTATCTGTTCCTCGTTCTCAGGAACGGAAAATCAGCGAGAACACCCCACTTCTGCACAGCGAAAGTTAGTGACATCTATCATTTCTTGAGTCTCTGGATGCCCGCAAATCTTTTTTTTTTTTTTTTTTGCGAAAATTAATTTGAATATTTATTCACATTTCAGAGGTTGAGGAAGTTGCAGGATCAGGCGATGATAATAAAGAGGAGCCACATCAGAAGAATTGGTTTTTCGCTTCGCTTGAGGCCTGGAAGATTTATTTCACACACCCTGTGTTTCCAGCAGGATTTGGATTGGCGTGTTTGTACATGACCGTTTTGGGATTTGACAGCGTGACAACAGGTTCACCTCATGAACTACCTGCGAAGAAACTTTGATTGTATCCTCGCTAACGACTACAGAAACCTCTCTTTGGGTTTTCAATCTTAACAATTGAAAATTATAAACATATTCTTTGAAAATAAATTTGCGGATTTTTAAATATCTCGAGATTTTAAAAATCCAAATTTATAAACACAACTGCAATAGAGTCTTGTCTCGTTACAACGAAGCGTTCGGGACCTTGAAAAATATTCTTGACAAACGGAAATAAAATTAAAAAAAAACATTCTTGCTATATCGATTAATTGGACAGGGACAAAATTTTTTTTAAACATTCATTCGTTATTGGACGATTAGTTGTAACGAGATCCTACTGCATAAAAATCAACAATTGCAAGGTGTAGTCGCATTTATTGAAGAAAAAAATTATAAAACCTTAAATTTTGCGTGCAAATGTGAGACGCACGTTCATCAATCATTTTGTTTTCTCGGACTTAGGGGCGTCGGACGATGACGATCTTCGTTAATCTAAAAAAATGCAATAATAACCCAGTTGATCTTCGAATAAGGCATGTTGAAAATTAAGATTAAATCCCAGATTTTAAAATTTCAGTGATTATTTAGAATATTATTCATTAAAAGACTGTTTTCGTTTTAAATTGAGCAATAATGATGCACGTAATTCACGTTTATGTCAATCTATAATGTTACCATATGATACGAGGCGTGCTCTCATTTTGCAAAAAAATGTCTGCCAAATAATTTTTTTTTTTCATATTCGAGTGCGTAAATTTTTTTCACCTCCCGTTTCACTCAGATGAAAAAAATGTAAAATTTAAATATTAATCCCGCTATAATTCGAGGGAAGCGACCTTCAAGGATAGTCTTGATTCCAACATTTCGAGTTTCTATCGCAAAATTCGGGGTCGCCCGAGTTTTTGAATACTTCAAATCCTGAACTATTTAAATTTTAATATACTGGGAACTTTCCCCAATTCTCCCATCCCTGTGCAGGTTACATGTATTCCCAAGGGGTTCCAGAATGGATGCTGGGAGCAACTACAGGAATCGGATCAATTTTCGGGATCATCGGGGCAACAATTTTCCCTTGTTTTCGGGCCTGTCTTGGACTGCCTTTATCCGCCATCACTGGATTCGCTTTGCTAAATATTTTGACTTCAGGTGCAATCGTGGCTTCGTTTCTTCCTGGGTCACCGTTTGAGGTAAAAAAAAATAACTGTTGACAATCTTCATCGTCTGATATGCAGGTCGATGATTTTGAATAATTCGTATAATATTTTTTCTGAAGGTCTATACAGGTTTCATCGCACCCAGCAACGCTTCAACTAACAGTTCAGCACCCAGTTTACCGACTTTGCCCATTGAAGAAAACATGTCGATTGGCACTTTTATTGTCTGCCTTGTCGTGGCGAGAACAGGTGAATTTTCAGCAGGGTCATTTAAAAAAATTCAAACTAACCTGGGAAATCTATCAAAAGTCAGAAACAAAACGCTCGAGCTTGAAGTGATCATGTATTATGCAAAATTTCCTGGCATAATTTCGAAAAATTTAAAAAAAGGAGACGAAGAAGATAATCTACGCATGTTTCGCAAAATGGAAAAGTTGGAAGCTTGGCACATTTCACTGATGTACAATAATATTCCGGTAAGCCAGAAAAAAATATTTTTGAATGTCAATATCCCCTGCTGTCCTGTATGATGGAGCATATCAAATTTAAAAATTAAAATTAAATCTGATTCAAATTGAAAGTGAATCTTTCGAGTGAGGATCCAAGTTTATGATTACATTTTAGTTTTCTCGACTTAATAAAAGCTCGCGAGTTGAAATTTCCCCCGGAATTATTGTAAAAGCAAATTTGCCACTTAATTGTTTTCCAAAGTGGATTGAAAAAACTTTGTATGAGTGTTCTTATAACATTGCACGTCTTGAAATGAATATTAGCATGAAGCAATTTTAGCTGGAACAATCGTTTTCTTTGTTTATCCAAATGCTTCAAGATAATTTTAAAAAAATATTCCCAATATATGGAGGTGCTTGCTTGCCAAGATGGCGAAGAAAGCAAAAACTATTCTGATGATCACTTTCCTGTCGCACGTTTCGAACGCTCTTGTTATTGATTGATTACGGAAAAGTCAAGGACTCGAATAATGATTTCGTCCGGAGAAAAATACACTTTAATTTGGTCATGCTCAACTTTGGGGCAGCATTTGATTGGCTGCTGTGCATAAAACATTCGAAGATTCTGTTGATCCTCGCAGGACTTTGGATCGCCGATTTATCAGTGACTCAAAGCATGCAGGAAACAATTCAGCCTGAACTTCGTGGAGAAATTAATGGCGTGCAGTCGTCCGTTAATCACTTGATGGAAGTCATTAAGTTCGGCCTAGTTACAGCCCTTCCGAAGCCACCAGTCTTCGGGTATCTGATCATCTCTTCGGAATGCTTCACCGTGTTTGGGTAAAAAAGAAAAAAAAGTAATATTAAAAAAACTCAGAGACTCAATCATGTCTTGTCCTGAAATCAGAGTCACACAGTATAGGAATAATTTAATTTTCAGGTGGGTGTGTGCGAGCTACTTTGCATGGATGACGTGGCGAAACAGTCGCCGGACCAAAGACTTCTATCAGACGATTCCCGGGATTTCTGCAGGAATTACTGACGAAAAGTCCAATAAGTGTGGTGAAATTGGCATTGTAATAGAAGTCGCACTGCCTCAGGACAGGGCAAGGACAGTCTCAGGGAAGAAAAGCGCGAAAAATCGGACGGGTGACTACGGCAGTTACGTCGGACTTCAAGAAAGCGATACGACTGAGTGACTCTGGTTTTTAAAAATGAATTGCTTTACTGTATTCATATTTGGAGAAAGATATATAACGGTTCTTGTGGAGATTCCGTGAGCAGGCAAATGTTTTACACTGAGTCTCTTATACCGGACCGATTTCCACAGGTAAGTAATTTATTTTGACATAAATGTGATAAAACACCTGAATAAGTTACGATGAACGGGTTTTATTACTGTATAATCTTCAAGAATATAAATTTTCACATTTTTCAGCTGAACTCATTCGTTTTTTAACTGTAATAAATATATGTACAACTATTTGAAATTTTCCTTCCCGAAATTATTTCTTCATCGAAACTTCTTTCTACAACGAAATTATTTTTTCAACAAAATTTTTTCGAAATGCTTCCTAAAATAAAAATGTTCTCCACTACGAAATTATTCATGCACCAAAAATTTTTTCTACAACAACATTTTTCCCACAACGAAATTATATCTATAGTCTCTTGAATTTTTGCTGTAGAGACACGGACAGTCCACCTGAATCCGGTCCCCTCATGTACCGGCATGTTTGTCAATATAAATGTCCACAAACCGATACGGAATACTCTGTGTATCTCATGCATGTCGAATCAAGTTTCTGGTGCCATGGGATACCATAGTTGCGTGCGTGTGTCTGACGCACTCATCATCTGTTCCACTGTTGGTAAGATAACGGCTTTATTCAAGGCTTCAGAGCTTCATATTTAGACTGCTAAGCGGAAGAAAAGCGTTGAACACGCCTTTCAACCTTGAGGCATGACATTTATTTTGATCCACTATAGTCCCATACTAACTACCGTGGTATACTATGAGACCTCACTGAAAAAAAATAACTTGCATTCAAAGTTTCAAACACGATGTTCATGAGCAGGAGGGAAAGCCTATAGAAAATCACTGATTTTTTCCATAAAATTCAGGGAGTGATTGAGAATTTTGTGCTATTGAAACATATGATTCGTTCAAATGACTGGAATATAAATGTCATCGATCGGATATATACATTTTTTAAAATTTTGATTGGTTCGAATTTTAAAATCCATGAAAATTCGATCTGCAGAATGCGAGAGAATTACTGAATCTTTGAAAATAGTCATCAGCTGAATTATTTCCATTCCTAATTCAATTTATCCTAATTATTAAACTGAATTTCAAACTCGCCGCAATATGACGTCATATGTATAGTTATAGAATATAGATCGTTGTATATATCATGAAATTCCAATACATTCGTTTGAATATAGAAAAGTTTTATTTATTTTTCTTGAAAACAATGCGAACTCCTACGTTTCGCATGATTTCAAATATAAGCTGAATATTCACGAACTCCTTTGATGCTGCTGATCTGAGTCTCCGTGAGTCGTCCATAGCCTTACCAAAGCCATGTCAGTTCTTCGCAAGCTGGGAAGTGCTTCGGAACTCGGCGGGCAACTTATGAGGACGGAAAATAATTTGTGTATGTCCATCAGCTAATCTTTAAATTTTGAAGCAGAAAAAAATATCGTCATGGATTTGGCTCGCTATCTGCTCTTGATGTCACATGGAATCTCCATGTGGGACAACAGCCTGTGGTCGTTCGCAATCGGAGTTTACCTCGTGATTCTGTTTCCCGGATCCCTGACTTTGAGTGCGATCTATGGACTCATTCTGGCAATTTCTATTTTGCTGTTCGGAAGCACCGTTGGTTTCTGGATCGACCATACCCCGAGATTACGCGGTAATTTCTTGACAGATGAGGTCTCGTAATTATGTCACAATTGAAGAACCAAGCTATTTCGAGTCAACAAAGTTTCGATAAGATAAGTCACATCACGACATCTGAAGAACACTCGGAAATTTGTTTTCAACTTTATGGATTATAACCCATATTTATTCGAGTACCACGCGCCATCAAGTAAGACTATAATTAGATAACTATTTTTTAGTGAGACTATTTTTAGATTATAAGCTAAAAATGTTAAAAAAGTTATCCCCGCATAAAACGCGCAATTTAGTTTCGAGTTACCAAAATTACAATTTGAAAAACTGCGTTGGGTAAAAATCTGAATTTAAGCCTACTTGGAAATCAAATACAATGGTGGTATTTTTGTTTCATATAAATTATAGCAATCCAATATTAAAATGGAGGTCAGAAAAATTTTCAATTAAAAAGGAAAGTTTCCAAATTTCCAAAAAATTTCACCTGAAAAGTTGTCCGGACTACGATTTGCTTTTTGCTCCAATTTTTTTTTGGGAAAAAGGTGTGCGTGGTACTCTGGTAAAAATACGAGTATCGTTCGAACTTCGGATGGCCATGGGTATAGTGCGTGCCGCAGTATTGTATGAGTCAGTAGCAAGCATTTTCTGACGTCATTCATCATGGTCGCGGTGGTGCAACGCATTTAAATACAGTACATGTAAACAATCCAGATTTCTTATATTTTTTTAAGGAGGTTCGACATCCAGTAAGTAAAACTAATGTAAATGGCGAACTATTCTGGGATATCTTGGAACAATCCAAAGAAAAACAAACCTCGACCTAACCCTTTGAAAGTATTATATATACTGTATTTAAAAAGGAAAGAATATGCTTGAAATGTACGGAAATACTGCAGTTTTTGTTAAGAATCGTGAAATAAGCTGGATTCTACGGGAAGGATATTCTTGCATTGTTCATACAGAATTTAAAATACTGTAGATAAAAATTCACTGAATACATTTGTTATAGAGGCATAGAGAAATGATTCTTAATATGATGCAAACGCTGCGAAGGTAGATAAAATGGGACACATCTGGATACAATTTTTTCTAAAGCACTAGCGTTTTAACCTATACTGTACCTCTGCTTGCAAGTCAGTAAATTACAGTAGAACATCATGACTGAAGTTCACGATTTTGTAATAAATTATCGGTAGATTTGAACAGGAGTAATCCCTTCAGTAATCGACTTTCGTGGTGCGTTGATTCATTTTTGATCAAAATCCAGATTCTAAATATTGTGCCTTTGAATTGTTAATCGTATTGGGAATTTTTCCGATTTTCCTAAATTTATTACCTGTAAGGCTGGGATGGTGAAATAAATCATAATCTCAATGTTGAATTAGTACTCTTTAAATCGAACTCCAGATTCTCACTCTTATTGTGCCTTTTGACAATGTGGGAAGAGTTTGTCTGAATTTCAAAAAAAATTTCAGTTAAAAACTGGGGTGATTAGAAGCAATCCAGTCTTGTACCTGCAAATCAAAGGCTCCATTGAATTCACGACGTAGGGCCTCGATATGCGGACGGACATCCTGGCATACGGACAATTCAACTTATGGGCGCTTGATAGCCCGAAAAGTCTATCAGGACAATGTCTCAAGATACGAAAGCTTTACTAACATATCAAGACAAATGGAATACGTGTATTTTTCACATATTTGGATACATCTGTAGAGCAAATTGAGTTTTTTATACTCACACTAATAAAAAATTCATAAAATAAATGTATGCAGTTAATTTCTTCCATCCAAAACAGGCTAATTTTGGGCTTAATTTATTTTTAGTTATTCCCATCATCTGAGCACAGTATTGGAGGAACTTGATCTTGTTCCTTGCTTTTTGGGCTCCTTTTCATGGCAAAAATATGAGATTATGCGTGGGTGGTTTTCTTTTATTTTCTGTATCTTTCAGTCGAGAAAAATCATTTTACAGTATTCAATATTTGTGGGACTTTTTACGAAATTTTGATCAGCAGGAAAGCCAATTAAATACTGTATACTGTAATCCCATTGAAGTCAAAGAGAAAACGTTATCCAACATGCAGACGATCCGAAATAGAGACAAGATTCCAGCATCAAATTCGTCCGTATCTCGGGGCCCCAACGTACTCTGAATTTTTATGAATAAACTGCTCCATTTTTTTTTAATTTGCGTCTTATATTCAAGCAAATAAACTCGCACCCAGCAAATTTAGCACAATAAAATTTTTTCACAGCGGCCAGGATTGCGCTACTGGTGAAGAACGGGTCAGTGGTTATTTGCTGCACTGTTTTGTGCATCCTGCTCACATACTCGAAGCAATGGGAAACCGAAGGACACCAAACCTGGATCCTCGTTGCTCAAATCATGGTCGTCCTCATCGCCGACGTCGCGTCCGTGGCCTCAGAGGGACAACGCATCATTCTGGAACGTGACTGGATCGTTGTCATCTCAGGTCACAAAAAGGAAGACCTTGCTAGTAAGAAAGCCAGACACACTTGTTCTATATTTTGTTTATAAAGGGCTGAATAATTTGAATAAAAATTCATTCACGCATACAGAGATGAATTCCTTGTTCAGGAGCATTGACCTCGTAGCCCGAGTCTTGGCTCCAACGATTGCTGGTGCAGTGATGAGTCTGGTGCCTCCTGTGGTGTCAGCGGTGTCTTTGGCAGCATTGAACCTTATGTCCTTGGTTGTGGAGTTTCTGCTGCTTGGCATAATTTTCAAAAAGGTTCCTGAACTCAGGCATCGGCATTTACACCGGGGATCTGGAAAGACTGAAACCCCAGCAGGTCTTGATGATGAAGAGATTCCAGCTGGTGAGTTTTCCATGCTAACCTCAGTCATAACATCACTCTCTATATCTCGGACACCACGTTGAACGATTGAAAGGAAAATACAGGTGGTGCCCTGCAATTCAACCCTAATTTGTCGCTGGAATAGGGTCAAATTGTGAAGCAGTCAAATTGCAAGACAGCATCAAATGTCTCTCCGTGGGCAAAATTACATGGCAGAGGCTGAATTTTAAGTTGACCTGCCAGCAAATTTGACTGTTGAATTGCAGGATGATCAAATTGGGGGAGGTCAAATTGCAAGGCATCACATGTAAATAGGTAATACCTGTATTGACTGTGTGATGTTTTTGAGATTTGGCAATTAGAACATGTGTAAGCAAAGGATTAGGTTTTTAACATAGTAAAACAAGACGCAAATTACCAAAAATATAAAAATGTTATTATGCTAACCTCCCAAAGTCAAATACTTCCCAATGTCAATTTTGTTCGAGTCCCTGTGTGAATTCCTCTAGGAAATGTGCATTAAAATCCTTACTTATTGAAGGCTTTCACCCTCAAACCTCCAAACCTCAAATTCTGTTGACGCTTTTTGTCTTTTCTTTTACTTACTCACAAAGAGAAGAACAAACAATATAACTTGTATTTTGAAAGGAAGTGAAGGACTACAATTTAGCAAATTAACCCTTTCCTCTACGTTCAGCATCCTGTCACCGCATTTTAGAAGCAATTTAAGACCAAGAATATCCCCAATCACTATTTCCTGCACATTTATTTTTTTCATCAACAAAAATGATTGTTTCCCAAGTCTAAACCTCCCAGAGTCAAATTTGTTTCCAATCATGATGCATCTACCCACACGCCAAAATTTGTGTTCCAATATCTGGGGAAGAAGGAACTTGTGGTACAGGAAATTGGTATTAATGTTGAAAATGACCATAAATTTGAAAATTTGACGCATAGCCTCATAGTTCAACATGTAAAAAAGCAGTGCAGCTTTGAATAGAAACACGTACTGTGTCTCTTGAAAAATGAATTAGGTTTACCTATACAAATCTTTGTAATATAACTTAATTTGGCACCTGATGTACACTAGCACCCAGTTTGCATGTATACTCCGACAGTCCAAACAGTTCTTTCTTCTCTTTTGGAAGTTTTAGAGACTGCATGCCTCAGCAAAGAAAAAATGATAAGAATAAGGAATCAAACACAACAATCAACCTGGGGCAGGCCAGGAGCCTCTTTTATATAAAGGCTCCAAAAAGCTTTTGATTCATCAAAGGCCCAACAAAGAAAGTTAGTAACTCAGTGGATTTTGGAAGAATATAATCACACACAAGGCAATCATGCAAAGTCTTTCAGGAATAATTGATGCAAAGTTTCTGTTCTGTACACTTCAAGAATTGGCAATAGAATGAATTCTATGCTACATTTTTTGGGTGGAAGACAAAAGAGGAGGGAAAGTGGTTTTCCTTTGGGGCCTAAAAATATTGGCCTCTGATGATTGGCTGATTTTGCCCGAATGGAACAAAAATCCTTTGGGACTTGTTCATTGGTGCTGGGATCTCCGTAACCCCCAGCAATGATTTCAGGGATGCAGGACGGATTATGCTTATTCCACTCTAGGTCCGAGCTTCAGTCCCCAACAAGAAGTCAGCTTCGAAAAGGCGTAAAACACCATCATCATACTGTAGTAGCATTTATGTTTCTGTTCAGGTGTTCCCGTGAAAAAACTAGGATGGCTGAAGCACTCCACAAAGGCATGGAAGATGTACCTGGTACATCCCGTGTTTCCCGCTGGATTTGGCCTTTCTCTGCTGTACATGACAGTCCTTGGGTTTGACAACGTGACGACAGGTACAGTAAATGCTTTTGAAATTATTAAATCCATACAAATTATATACGAAATATCTCGTTCATAATTAACAGTGAAATCATCAATCGACGATGTCGGAGCTTCAGTAGTTACAACAGGAAAAAAATAGTCGTACTGTACCTCGATTAAATTGTTGCTAAATTCATTCATGCATGAATTAAATGCATCTTCCTGTTTTTCTTGCGGATTTATGTATTTTCGCAGGTTACATGTACTCTCAAAGGGTACCAGAATGGTTGATAGGAGCAATCACGGGGGTTGGTTCGATTTTTGGGGTTTTGGGTGCTTTGCTCTTCCCTTTCATCCGAGCTCGTTGCGGTTTGGTAATCACGGCGATTATTGGATATGCGACATTGAATACCCTGACGTCTGGGGCCATTGTGGCATCCTTTATTCCAGGTTCTCCATTTGAGGTACGATAAATCTCTTAAAATTTAGTCACACCTGGTTCAAGAGTTTCTTCTCATCTTTCCTTGAAGAATACGATGCAGGCATGCAGGAATGGAATGCCTTTTCAACCGTACTAAATTTAATTTGAAGCAGTTGAAAGCTCATCATTGAAAAGGAATTAATACGAATACTGTATTTGTATCGACTGTGTTTCGGAAATTTTGGAAACATCCTGCGTATATTTTTGAACCAATAACTAATTGAAGAATTTCAGCCTTAATTATCAATAGAAACCCAAAAATTCTCAGAAGAAAGAAAATTCTCAAATGAAGGATGATACAAAATTCCATCTGGTTTGAAACGAAAGTTAGCAACAAATTTTCAAGAAGTAACTTTGAAATTCGACGAACATCTTTCATTAATTCAGACAATCATACGAAGCAAAAAGCAATGGCAGACTGAATCAATTATGCGAGGAGGTAATTTTCTCATTTATAATGATTTCATTTTGCAGGTATATCCGGGTCATGATGAGACAGGAAATAGCAATCTTCCAGTGATGAGTAATCCATCAATAATCACGTTCATGATCTGCATAGTTGCCGGACGGGCAGGTAAATTTGCTTTGAAATCATGTCCATCAATAATGCAATTATGAGGAAATTCAAATTTTCAAAATGTATTCGCACAAGAGGATAGAATTTCAACACAATACAATTTTACTTGATCATCTGTTGAGTTCTATAAAAAAAAACTGCCAGAGTCCAAGTGAGAATTTACGTAAGTGAATTAAACTCATAAAAAGTGTCTTCCACAATATTTTCAGGAAAGACGCCAGAGAACCATCAACACACTTCATCCACAGTAGAATCTCGCTACAAAGAATGTCATCATAACGAATTATCTCTTGCAACGAAGTTTTTTTTTTGGGCCCGCCTGCACCGCATAGCCACAATGTTGAATGAGTAACTTTATAACGAATTCTTCGCTACAAAAGAGTTATTTCACTGGTTCCAATGGATTTGTTTTGAATATATTTTACATGGCTTATGGTTAGCTATGCGTCGTGTTATTTGGAGAGTGTTTTTTCCTGTCTGTGCACTTTTCAGGGGAGCTGCTGATTTTTCGAAGAGGAAACACATACAAATTGAATTAATTGAGGCTTTAAAAACTAATATGGCCCACAGATGATAGTTATTCATTCGTCCAATACTTTTACGGAATCCCTTTTCGATCCATCAACTACATCGAATCATGATTGCGCACGTAAATAGTTATAAAAAAAACATATAATGATGATTATGCAGGGCTTTGGACCGCCGATTTGGCTGTAATGCAAATCATGCAAGAAGGGATCAAACCCGATCTTCGAGGGAAATTAAACGGGGTCCAGACTTCCATGAACAATTTGTTCGAAGTGCTCAAGTTTGGACTGGTTACTGCTCTTCCGACGCCGCCTGTCTTCGGATATTTGATCATCATGTCTGAATGCTTCACAGTATCCGGGTAAGAAAAGACTAGAAGAGCAACGAATTCCCAAGTCAATTCAATCCGTTTTTGAAAAATCATGGAAAATAAAATCTTGTGAAATCGTGCAGGGCTTTGAAACGGGTGCGATTTTTGTTGAACTTCAAAATATATTGTACGCTGAATAATTACTGTGCAGTAGTACAGTACAATACTTGAAGTATTTAAAGCATCGAATTTCTCAGTTCCCGAAAATAAATTGAAAAATCTTAACGGAAACATTTTTTTCTGAAATTTCGCACGACAAAACAAATTCATCTGAGGATTCTGAGCCCTCTTCATCACGAATTCAAGTTTACTGTGTCTGAGTCAGGCACGTGAAAAAATTAGCCAATAATAGTTTCAATTTAAACCCCTTCGTTATCTCATCCTTCCCCTGTTCATGAAGATGCAAAATCGATATCAAATTGATTTCTTGCTTTCAATTCGACTTCAATACATTGCTCAATCGAAAACGTTTTCGCCATTCAAATTCATCAGCAGGTTGAATATTTATGTTTCTGATTGCTTCAAATTATCGCACTATACATTTTCACGCATTTGCAGCTGGGCATGTGCGAGCTATTTTGCATGGATGACTCGAATGAAGACACGGAAAGATAATCGCCAATATGACCAAAGCATAACGGATACTTCAGCAGAGTTGAAAGAAGGAATTTCTGGAGAGGACGAGATGAGGTCTACAATATGATTATTTTATCGTTTGCGCGATCAAGGTTCAATTGACGAAACGAACCGTCAAAGATTTGACCGATAATTTCGGATCCTATGTATGGAATATTCGTAGAACTACAAAAGCAATGATCAACGTGATGCAAATACGATTTACTTTTACAAGAATATATGATGAGCATCAATGCCAGTTCATGAAAGCATTCTGAAACTTTTTTGTTTGAAAAGTTTGCAGTAACGTCATTGAGATTCGCAAAAAAATCCGACACGTTACACTGCAATACTTGAAATTCCCGGTGTGGCGAGTTTGATTAAATCGAGTCATTTTTCCGAACTGTTGTGGTGTGATTTTCATTTCAGTGTTGAATAACTCACAAGGTTATCAACTTTTTATTTTATAATCACAGTAAGTCAGAAGTGATGCTATGAGAAAAAGCTAATTTTACAGTTATTGCTATTTTATCTATCCGACTTTCCCATGCCAGTTACAGTGGTACTTCATACTATGGATGTAATCTGTTTAAGAGCTAGGTTCCTTGTGCAAAACCTTCTCACTACAAATCATGTTTTCCACAGACTGCAATGTGAAATCTTTTAATTTGTTTCAAAATTTGCAAGAAACTCAAAAAAATTTCCAAAGAATTCTTTTAATTTTATCAAAGCAATTTATCAGCACTCCTTGAGCATTGCCCTCTTACGTGTGATGAATGAAACATATGATCCAAACTTTTTTTTTACATTTCGAAATGAAAAATGTTTTTGAAAATGGGTCTTATACTTGCTGGGGTTTTTTCAAGTGTGAATTGCAAGTTGAATTGTGTTGAAACATTGCTCCCAAGGGGGTTTTTCTCAAAACAAACAGTTATAACATCAGGCTTTGATTCAAATGTTTAGGGAGGTTAGATTGCAGGTATCCAATTGTTTTTCAAGGGGGTTCTGCTGACAGCAAAAATTATTTGAAAATGGATTTTGCATTTAGCATAACCCCTGCAATTCAAAATTTAATCCAGAGGTTCAAAATACAAATTCACAGGTTTGAATCAGTAATGCACAAATTGTTCAAAATTTCATCTAAGGGGGTTATGCTCAAAGCAGAATTTATTTGAAAACATGTCTGCTTTGAGCATAGCCCTCTTAGAAGCTATAAATATTGAAAAAAATGTAAGGTTTAGGCTCATTTGGAAGCCATTTCTGACCCTACAAAGCACACTTTCCAAAAAATTTACTTGAAACATCATTTTGAAAATATTTGGGGGAAATCCAGGTGGAACTCCAATTTCAAAGACAATTTCCATCTAAATATTTTCAGAAAATCTGAATTGCAGGCTATAAAGGTATTGATTTGCCTGGCACTACTCAAATTATGCATGACTATATGTTCTTTTATCTTGGCTTCACAGTACTTTCACAGATGCTATCAATTATATTACAAGGTACAACCTGTACTGGAAGGCCTTCAAAAAATTAGGAAGGTTTGCTTGAAGAAATGTTTCTCAGATTGAAAACATAAAATAATTTATTTCAGCAGGTGAAAGTCTGTCTGGAGTGTTATGGGAGAAAAGCCAAATTTCCATCCAATACTTTCAACTGCCATTGTCTTTCCTAAATTGCAGATAAATATGACATCATTCCTGTTTTTGATAAACTTTATTATGAGGACGAAGATTTTTGACAGAACCAGCAAAAAACTTTTGAAGACTGATGCCAGTCTGCTGACCACTTGTGTTGCAAACATTGCCATGTATCTTCCTCCTTGAAAGTGCAGCACAAAAATATTGGTGAATCAAAAGATTATACTGCGCAACATCCAACAGCTTATGATTCTGCTTTAGGAAATGTAATTAATAATTTATGTTGTGAGTTGTGGTTGAAATCTTATGAACTCATTTAAAGAGATTCAAGACAATACAGGAGGCAAGATTGCCTCAGTCCAGACTGTGTAGTGAAGACAGATGTTTAATACTTGGACAGCAGCTGAGGGTTCCTGGCCATCCTGCAGCAAAGTTGCAATTTTTTTGGGTGGAGAGGCATTTCAGTTTGACCAAAGGTCACTGAAATGCTTCAGCTTGCCAAGGCCTAATAAGTTGGGAAAATCAGGTTGCAGCAAATCCCTTTGTTTCAGGAAATCTGCAATGGTAATCCTATGATGGGAATGCATGAAACAACACCACCCAATGAGGGATTTTTTTATGCAAAATTTTTGCGGGATTACAAAAATATAGTGGACTTTTTCCTAGCCTTGGCTCAGAAATTTAATTTTTTAATTTTTGCAGGGAATGGGAACCGAATTTGGCGAAAATATCCCAACTTGGCCAAACAAGTGTTAAACTCAAACTATATAATGCACTCCAAGTAACAGAAAAATGCATTTTCAAAATTTTAATTATTCAATTTTTATCTTATTTTTCACGCAACGGAGACCAAATGACTGTTCCTGGTCGGATTACCTTCCACAAAATTATTTAGCTAGAATTAATTAAGTCGCAGTATTTCTACAGCTGTTAAGGAACACATTTTTGGCGCCCATTTCCCGGAATGAAAAATTAAAAGAATCATTCGTGGAACACGTTACCCAGGCGTGTTACTTGTTTCCTTCCTTTAAACCTTCTCTATAACGTGCCTAGGTTTGTAAGAAAATGAAAAGAAATGGAAAAGAAGTGAGACACAGAGGATATTTTTTTTCCTCGTATAAACAGTGTTAAGACCTTGCGTCTCAGGGGGACGCCGATGCGAAGGCCGCCCGAGGCCACGATTCGAGACAGTGATAAAAGTTACTGTGGGGTTGAGTAACTTCCGCATTTGCCTCAGAAAACGTAAAATATCGTTGCTGTAAAGAGACAAACTTGAGAAAATTCCGAAATTTCATGATCATTTTACACAAAATATTTACTCATGAGAAATTATCGGTCCGCCTTCATTCGATGTCTGTCATCATACTCATCAATCGTCGAATATATCTCTTCTTGCCTCTCGCCAAAAGTGTTCAAAGCTACAAAAATAATTATTTAGGTCCCCTTGTTACAAAATTCCACGCATTCATAAACTGTCCGCCCTTGTAAAAATAAATGAAATTTCCATTTGTCGATGTGGCACTTTTTGATTCATTTGACAATTTCTTTCAAGACTTTCTTGGGACTCAATTATTGGACGAAATAACGAACAGTGTGAAATTTTCTTTGTTACAGAATTCAGCTGCCGTAGCAGTTCCTCGTGCCCTCAATGAAAAAAAATTTCAATTTTTTCTCGTTTCCTGAACTTTTTTAATATAATGCGTTGGAGTTATGATATCTGAACGCAGGATTGAAATGGAGGTCTGAAGAACCCATGAAACTTCATCGCAAACTCTTAATCCTCAAGAATATACTGTACTACAAAATTACATATGAACATTCACCCGCAGCAGTGTTTCATAACAGCAGTAGCACGATTTCTGAATTCGCTCAACATGAACCAACGTTTTAACCTTTCCCCCGTGCATTCGTTGCTTCTAAGAATCGAGAGAAAAAAATTCTCAGGCAGTTCTTCGCAAGACGGGAAACGCTTCGGAACTCTTTGGAGAATCATCTCCTCTTATTTACCGGTGCTTGTTGGTGACCTGCGACAAAAGCATGGAGTTGACACGTTATCTACTGCTTTTGTCCCACGGGACATCCATGTGGGACAACAGCTTGTGGTCGTTCGCGATCGGGGTTTATCTCGTGATCTTGTTCCCAGAATCGCTGGCGTTGACTGCCATCTATGGCCTGATCCTGGCGGCTTCCATACTCATCTTCGGCAGCACGATCGGCTTCTGGATTGACCACACGCCGAGACTAAAAGGTAAAGATGTTTAAAGCAGAAAAATAAAAAGAGAGTGCAACAGAGGCAATTTCATTTCACAGTCATTTTGCTCAGCGTTTGTGAGGCTTTTCTACGGCTATACCGGAAGACCTTACGATGAATGCATTCAGGCACAGTTCATTGTGAAGATTAGAGACATCTGCTAGCAGACAGAAGAAAATTTGTTGACTGTTCTTTTTTTATAGGTAGTAGATGTCGCGTATGCGTAGAAGTGGAGTATTGTACTCCGCTGTTGTTGAAGTGCATTTTGTGAGAATAATCTATGCAGTCCTATAATTTATGCTCAGCGGTATCGATGTTTAATTTAGAAGCAAATTGTTAAACCTAAGCAGACATCTGTGTCGGCCAATCGTAAACTATTCTTGGAAGGTATATAAATGCCAATTAAGAAAGGGTAATCGCGTAATGCGATCAATATAGTATTCAACTGTTCTCAACTATTTTAAAAATCGGATATACTCTCGAAGATAATTTCTTTGACGTTTTTAAAATTTTCCTTGGTTTATTACCACATTTAAAAATTATTTAGAACATGACTAAACGGACATACACTTCATTTTCAAGGCCTGGTCGATCTTCCGTTCTGGATTTCCAGGCAGTGTTTTCCGAACCATTAATTTTATGTTAGGTTATGTGTTCTGTTTTATTACGCTAGCGGTGTGTGAACCAGACAGAAAAAGGGAATTCATTTTCCCTCATGCAGATGTCACTGAAATGAGTTCTGCATAACTCTCCGGTGTGGAACTATACGACAAAAATTGAACCACCCCACAATTTTAGCAAGTACAGTGATTAAAATACAGTGAGACCCTGAGATGATGCGGAGGTCATTGGAGCTTGGACCTTGTCCCTATGTTGGATTGTTTGCATGTTGAACCTTATTTTCCCATAGACTTCCATGCAAGCATACTCAATTGGTTCTCCAGTTTGTCAAAAAATGGGAATAAGTCCTCCAAAAAAGTAATTAAAATTTTTTCCCACAACTTCATGTTATAGAAAACCACAGTGCAGAAGAAAACCACATATAATCTGATATTCTGGCACAAAAAGGAGCCTAACAAGCAAAGGACAAGAATAAGTCTTGCTATAATGTGTACAGATGACATAAAAAAAACTCTGAAAAAAGAAGCACAAAATGAGATTTTTCTGTTTGTGAATTTAGAGCAATTTATATCGACATATTTTCACATTTTTCTGAATATAAATACAGTGAGACCAAAATGCAGATATAATTGGTGCATCAAAAGAGTGTCCCTAAGTCAAGTCTCATTTTCCCTTAGACTTACAATATATGTATAATTTTTAATTGGTGTTTTATGTACAAAATGCTCACCATAATTCCGTCATAATAAAATTGGTCTCCCAATTTAAACTGATTCCAATCAATATATTTCAACACGATATGGGCATTTGGGGAATTGAATACTGATACCTCTGTTCAGTACATATAAATGTTGTCAATCTCTGTAAAAATAATATTGAAGTGAAAAAGAGATAAGGAAGTCCCTCTTGGCTGGAGATAATTTTTTTCAATTAGCTAAATGGAGGATAAATTGGTGAGAGAAATGCCCAAGAACTTTTCTTACTTCAATTTTAGGGTTGGAAATATCTGTTTCTTGTAATTTGGCCTGAAATGTAGTAGCAATTTATAAGAAAATGTCCCTATGTCAAGTCAGTGTCCTCATGTTGGGATTTTTATAATTTTTTTATGATAAAATAAGTGTCCCAAGTCAAATTATCCACAGGTCAAGGTGTCTGCATGTGGGGGTCTCACTGTACAGTAGCTTGATTTGTCTGAGATATCAAAAGTAAAAAATATAACGTTGATGTTTATGGACAATGCCAGAAAAGTGTCCCTATCTCAAGCTAATGTCCATATGTCAGGACAAATTCTTTGGGTTTGAAGTGTCCTTANAGGCAGTAAAGGCATGGAAGCTGTACTTCATACATCCTGTATTTCCGGCTGGGTTTGGCCTAGCTTTGTTGTACATGACGGTGCTTGGATTCGATAACGTGACGACAGGTTAGAGAAATTGGAAAATGTACACGAAAAGAATCTGATCTGATTTTTTTCTGTCAATAATCCGGAATTCTCTATAAATCAGTAAGATTTTTAAATATGTGTACAGTATGACTGTTGCTTAATTTCCTTGCTGCTCACGCGTCATTTCAATTTTCCGCAGATGTTTCGAAAATTTTTGATAGATTCCAAAAATTATTCAAGATCATGGTAAACTTATGTTTGTCTGTTTTCTCTTGCTGTACAATTTCTCGTGGAATTCTCTTTAATTTTTGATAATAAAAGAAGTGGATGGACTTTGAAATCATGTTTAGCTTTTTGCTTTTTGCTGTTCAAGCCCTTGGCAAAGCACAAATGTCATAATCTATCAGAATTTATGGAAATTAGTTGTTTTGATTTTCTCAGGATACGAGCGATGTATATTTACAGTACTTTCATCAGCGTCCCGTGAAAGTAAAGTGTGAAACCCAAAAGGCTTTTGCCAAACATGACTTCTTAATTCAAGCCTCCTGTTTTCCTTCATTTTCGTCACATAGGCTACCTTTACTCGCAAGGAGTACCAGAATGGTTGCTGGGAGTCACTACCGGAGCCGGGTCAATTTTTGGGGTCATTGGGGCTATTGTGTACCCTTTCATCCGATCCCGATGCGGGTTACCTG